TTTGGGATTTGGGATTTGGGATTTCGGCATTTGGGATTTCGGCATTTGGATTTTGAATTTGGGTGGCAGGTATACAAGTATATAACTCCCATTTTTCTTATAGCGGAACTAGTGTCTCTGACACATATAATATTACTGAACTTATATACCCCAACCACATACCATCAAAAAGTGTAGTATTCTTCCATATTTATTATATAATATTACTGAAGATTACTTTACCTTGACCTATCCGAAAACATACCACTGAAATGGGCATATTACTGAAGTTACCTACCCTGAAAACATATCATCAAAACATATCATGGAAAGTGTAGTGTTCTGCCATTTTTCTTATAATATATAACTGCAGATTACTACACCTTGATCTATCCAAAAATATATCATATAAAAGTGTAGTGTTCTGCCATTTTTCTTATATATATATTACGCAGATTACTACACCTTGACCTACCTGAAAACATATCATATAAAAGTGTAGTGTTCTGCCATTTTATATATATAATAAATCTGTAGATTACTACACCTTGACCCATCTAAAAACATGTCATCAAAAGTATAGTGTTCTTCCTAATTTATATATAATATTTCTGAAAATTACTACACTTGGTCCAAAATTATTCATTTATCGAGTTTGTATTTTTTGTTGTATATTCAAATTAAAAATCGATGCATTTTTTATATCACCGTGTACTGACCAAAAAAATTAATTTAAACTTTTGAAAATATATTGGGATAATATAACTTTGTTAACTGATAGAATCATAGTATAAAAAAACCAAAAATGAGTACACAAAATGTACCATTGATCCAGTACAAGGGTGGAGACAGCGTAGCAGGGTTCCAACTCGCAATGATATTTTGGAATGTGATAATGGGTTAACGGCTATACTTCAACAAAACTTATCTAAAAAAAAACCTATACACTTTATGTCCAATGATGTAGAAGACGCTTTTGAGTATATTAATAATGTACAGACATATATTTTACGTATCCATAGCTCTCTAATTAATGGACAAAAGGCTAAAGTAGATATCACGAGCATTAAACCTTTCTTCGATGTTATTGTTCCAGATAATGAACCTTTATCTATATTCAACCAAGATTAGTAAAAATTATATTGGGAGCAGAAAAGATTGATAAATCAAAGTTTGGAATGAAAGTCGTCCACGTATATCCAATTCGTGAATATCACACCTAGGAAAAGGTATACATCCGCATTATTACATGGAACTATTATGATAGAAGATGAATTTTAAGAGAGGTCCGTAAGTATGAGATGGGGACTGCTTTAGACGATGATACCAGCAAACATTATCACTGAAAAATAGCTCATGAAAAAAAGTTACCTCTTTTCGAGAGGGTGATACTAAGTGAATATAATTATATTTCTGATACGGATTCGCCACATTATTTCTATTCTTTTTGTGTATCTGTAGATAATTATTAGTCTCTAGGAGAAAACAAGTCAGATGATCAGGTAATAACTGAAGCTCTCTCACATAATCACACTCTTGTCCTTACATGGGATATAGAAACATACAATGTCCGCAAAATGGAAGATCTATCTAATGCAAAAAATGATGAGGATCGAGTATTTATGATCTGTATGACCGTTCATTGGAAAGATGATCCCAAATCATTAAAGCAAATATGTTTAGTTGATATGAAAACAAAGCTCGATCCCAGCTGGATCACAATTGTATGTGGAAACCAGACTAATATACTGAAGGCATTTGCATTATGTTGAAAAAATTTAACTCCTAATTAAAGTTCCACATAGGCCTTAAGGCTCGTGAGCCTAGCGAGCCGAGCCAATTCAAGCCGAGCTGAGCTTGATATTATAGGCTTATAGGCTCGCGAGCCAAGCCCAACTAAGGCCTAGCTCACAAGGCTCGAGCCTTAAAAATTTTGGGGCTTTAAATAAAAGCTCACATAATTTTTTTAAAAAAAAATTATCCGTTGTTTATGAGCCTAATATAAGGTTCGCGAACCTACTATGAAGCTCGTGAGCCTAACTTATAAACTCAGACTCGAGCCGAGCCTAAGACTTTTGGACTCAGCTTGGCCTGAGCTTTATAAGGTTCAACTCGGCTCAGCTTATGAGGAGCTTTATTCCTGATATACAGATAAATTTTAATGATTTGTAGTATGATTGGTCTTTTATTATAGAAAAAGCTAAAAGTTTAGGTATTCTTGAATGGATGTTCAATTACATGTCACCAGACTCATCCAACATTGAAAAAATTATAAAATGGAAATATCGAAAAAGTGAGATAAAGATATCTGATGAGAAATTCTACTCAAAGTATCTTAAAATACCAGGATATATACCTATTGATGTTCGTGCTTGCTTCAAAAAATTATATCTAAAATCAGAGACGAGTTCATTTAAATATTATCTAGATGTCTGTGGATTAGATAATAAGGCAGATATGTCTATTCATATTATGAATAAGTATTACGAAAAAGCAATACTCCAACCCTCTAATATTTCTGCAAAAAATATGCACGAAGTGACAAATTATTGTATAATAGATGCACTAAGATACCAAGAACTCATGGTTAGGCGTAATGTAATCAATAACTATAGGGAAATATCATCCATTGCATATGTTTCTCTTTCTGATTCTCACTATTTTGCAGGAGGTATGAAGGTGTGTAATCTTTTAGGTGCTGAAGTTTGGAGTTGTAATATATTATGCAGTATGATTCCTCGTGAAAATACAGAAACTGATAAGTACCCGGGAGCTTATGTCGTCATATTGATAAAAGGTCTTGAAAATAAACGTCCAGTAACTGGATTAGATTTTGCATCTCTATATTCAAGTCTTATTATGACTTACAACCTCTTGCCTGATAAGATTATACTATCTCACAAAGAAGCTATAGATATACTTCGTGCTAGGAAGAAGCTTCACAAGATTGAGTTCCCATTCAATGGTCAAACTTTAGTTGCTTGGTCTGTTCGCCATAATAATATACCCAAAGATAAAGGTCTCTATACTAGTGTATTGGAGAACTTGTCTAATAAGCGAAGTGAGATAAAAAAATGTTTTCGTGAATTGGATAAGAAAAGTTTCAAATATAGTTACTTAGATTCAAAACAAAAGGTAGCAAAATTATATATGAATACATTTTATGGTGAGGCGAGTAATAGTCTCTCTTCATTTTATCTACTTAAACTGGCAGGCAGAGTTACTTCAGTAGACAGTGTAATATTAAATTTGTTAAAAAATTCGTTGAGGGTAAAGGGTTCAAAGTCAAATATGGAGATACTGATTCCTTATATCTTATTTGTCCTGAAGAATGTTTTCAAGAATGCGATCGGAAATACAAATTGGAACAATTATCACAGAAAGATTATTGGAAAGAAATTGTAAAAATCTCTATAGATGTAATGGCTAAGCTTTGTAACGAAGTAAATATTGAACTTGAAAAAGATAATGGAACACCCTATCTCAAGATGGAATATGAGGAGGTCTTATTTCCTGTGGTGTTTACAGGGAAGAAAACATATTATGGTCTTGAGTATAAAAATGAGCCAAATTTTGACCCAGGTAAACTTTTTATTAGAAGAGTAGATATTATAAAGAGAGGTTAATTCAAGCTTTTCCGTGACGTAGATAAGGAGATTATAAATAGGACTATGAAGGTTGGTAATGAGGAGACAATACATCAGATTGTTGAAAATGTTCTTTGAAAAACTGTAGAAAAACTTTCTAAATTAGACTATGATAAATTTATTTAGACGTGTGCATGGAGACCTAAAAAAGAGGGTAAGCGAAGAAAATATCCCAATAAAGCATTTTGTCTCACAGATAAAGGCTAAACATTCACGTGAGGTAATAGAATCTCAACAACTTGTAAATAGGGAATTCCCTTTTAAAGAATATCTTTTTAAGGCCCCTGAACCTGGTAAACGATTTAGTTATATTGTAGTAGAACCTGAAGTAATTTATGATAAATATAGAATCAAAATATCACAGAAAAAAGGGGATTATATGGAATATGTGAATGTAGTAAAAAAGTTTAACAAAAAAATAGATATCGATTATTATACCCAGAGCTTATTTGCCCTCTGCGTCCATTTTATAAATTATGATGATAAATACCAGTCATCACCCGAATCTCTGACAAAAGCCTTGAATTGTAAAAAGAAATCAAAGAAGAAGAAATCAAAAGATATTAAGGGTTTAGATGAGGATGAAATAGCAAATGTAAAAGATGAAGAGTCGCAGAAGTTAGCTATAAAATGACTTAAAAGGTATATTAAAGATTTACGTGATGATCTGAAAAAAGATGAAGTCATTATCTCCCATTTATGGAAAGATGCCACCACTCATGCTGAAAAAATATGTTCTGGTATTAGTGAAGCTAGCATGACTAGGCCTTCAGGAATCTCTACGAGATATAATGATTACCTTAATGCATTAGATAGGATTGTGAATTCTACTCGTTTGAAATTATCAGATTTACTTTTAAAATTGTCTAAGCTTAATGTAGATTATAGAAATGCAATATACGAATTAATTGTGCAGGTACATAAATACAAGTCTGATATTATGATTTTGGAAGAATATATATTTCGATTTAATCTGGAATCGGAGTGTGAGGTATTAATAGATTTCCGGAATACATGGTACAAGGTAATTGGTCTTAAGATTGCACGTCTTCAAGCACTATCTATTATGCAGAACAGTAAAAAAGACAACCCATTGGAAGCAGATATTGACGAGATTGTTGATCTATATTGTTAAGTGATCTTGATTAGAATTGCCAGACTTCACTAAGATACTTATGCAGTAGATTATTTTTTCATACATAATTAATAACGAAGTTCAAATTATATTTAACAATAACTATAGTCGTAATCCCTCAATGCTTGTAGCGTATCGCGATATCTCTTACAAACCATCCAAGGATATTCAAGGTTTAAAGACATTGATTAATTATAGTTCTTTTTCCCATGAGCAGTAATTCGATAATTTAGATATTGTTTCATCAAATCTCCTATACTTATATTCTCATTCTTTATCATATAGGCTTTATGAATACCATCTATTATAACTTTTATCGTATTCTTATCATATGCATTAGAAGGCTCCAGTTCAAGAGTGATGGTATCCGATTTCTTAAACTTATGTCCACTACGAAATCTCATCCCTACTATCATAAACGAGTGTGTAACAATACAGTCTGTATACAATAGTGATAATGGTTCCTTACAACTATAACAAATACTAGACATGATTAAAAACTATTATATTTTTTGTACATAAATAATATCCAAGTTCAAATAAATAGTCTCAGTTATCCGATCCATATATCCCGCAACTATTCACTTTTTTTACCTATGCCCCATACACGTTGTTACCATGGGTTTTCTCCACTTTTATAATTTCTTATTATTTTATTTTATTTTATTCTTATTTGTATTTATTTTATTAGTATAATTATTTTAGTATATTTAG